GTTGGTTAAGCATTACAAGTGTGTGCTGTTATGCTTGAGAAGCGATTGATTAATGATACAGAAATGGAGGCATGTAAACCAGAAAATGAAACATGGATGAATGGATGGATCTATTTACTCATCCATTTAGAAATGAAGTGTGTCTGACAGAATAGCTGGATAGTGTAGCGGTAAGACTACACACCTTTGGAGTGGGAGTTGCAGGTTTGATTCCCTCCTGGTATCCAGTAAGGGCCGTTCTAAAACCAAGCCCTGGAATGGTGTGGCTACGCCTGCAGCGCAGACACACGCGTTTCACTACACTGTGTATGTGACAAATGAAATTTGTATTTATTTAGATGCATCAGTAGAAGGTGTTGTGAACCATTAAGAAACCATTTTATTATCTTTATATCTTTAATGTTTTCATGATGTTTAAACACATACACGATATTTAAAGCTGAGTCTTTTTGCTTCGTGGCATCTGAGTGAGCCATTGAAACTGGCAGAGAGTCTCAATGTTGTGAAATAGATTATTCATAAAAAAATGTCATTCTCCCGTAGCTCATGTGTTAACAGGTCTTGTCTGTGTTTTTAAGTCCTCAGGGACAGTGGGGCCTTGACTGGGTTTACTTTGCATCCCCCATCAACAACACACATACATGCACACGCGCAAACGCACGCGAACGTGCACACAACCCAGCAGAGATCAGGATTACAGGATCAGGGGTGAAATTGTATTTGTCTAAACTCCTAATGCTGCCCTGACGTGACATGTGGCCCGAGCAGCGAGGAGGAGGGGGAGGACGCTGCGATCTGTGTGCGCATGTGTGCGTGTCTATATGTTTGTGTGTCTGCCCGCTGCGAGGTGTTGTTGTTGTTGTTTTGAGCTGGTGAAATCATAAAGTGGATTGCAGCATTCATGTTCTCCGTACTAAACACTTGGACTGGGACACAAAATGATTGTATTACACAGAAGTAATAAGAAGAATGTACGAGATGATTAAGAGTTATGCTACTAGAGCTTTGGCTGCGTTTTCGGGGAAAATGTTGGCTCAGTTAAACACAGAAAGATCCAGGGCGTCCCATCTAATGCTCTAAATTACTCAGCCAAGGCCACAAACGTTCTATAACCCCAAACAAGTCGTCAGAGCAGCCGAAACCCAACCATAAAACATTACTCGTGCTTTATTTGCAAGATTGCATTGGTGAAAATCATTAAATGACATTAAGTGACAGTGAGAGGTTTACAAGTTGCACATTTTCAACATGTATTTAGCTGATGATGATGAATATTCAGTGAAATATAACATGCATGTGTCTTTCTGTGGTTTCACTCCTTTGCTGCCCCCGCTTTGCATAACCTCAGAGCACGTGGAAAAACAGCGCTGGGTCAAAATTTAAGTGCTTTCATATGTGTCCGTTTGAGCTTTGAGTACCCAGTGGCAGGTTCGCAGGTATAAGAAGGTATTTCATATATTTTTATGACCCACATTTATTACGACAATGTATATTTATCTGCCTAAAATAATATTAACAGTCAGGGATCCTGGAAGAAGTAAAATTACAGCTAATGATAAAATGACCGTACAGTCAAGCAAGGCATTAGCAGCGACACTAAACGCTCCCAGCAACCTCCCAGTGTTGTGGTTGCACCCGTGGAGTTTCTGATGTAATCTCGAACCGAAAGCCAATCACAGCATGACGTTTCTCGTCAGACTTGTCGGGCGCACATTATGTTGCATTTGAGTACTTTTCAGAGCTCCACTGTGGGAAGTGGTATTTAAACTGTGCTGCAAAGAAAATAACCATTTAAGAAAGAATATGAAGTAAACGTTTGTACAAAGAAGTCACCAGATGCACAACTTTGCAGAGGTTTTGACCGGGACTCTCTTTAATTTAGAGAAAAGGAAGTTTTCAAATCAATAAAGCTTAAAATAAAAATATAAATTCATGTTCTAAGCTTTCATTGGTTTTTCATTCTTGAAAACGCTGATTAACAACAGAAGAAAACAAATAAAAGCTTAAATGAAGCTGTGGAGCTTTGTTTTTTTACTTTGAAATAAATGAAAAGGTTTTTGACTGTGGCTTTCAGTGTGATGCATTATGGAAATAACAGTCATCTACGCCGTGAATAGTTGTCCTTGTAAAGCTTAATTTCACATCATCCTGTGCTCTGTCCAGCCCAGCTGCATTAACGCTCGTTTTTTTCCCCCCGCCGCTTTAAGCTCCACTGTGGTCTCCAAGAATTTATTTGGTTTGAAATTCAGCTCTCATTCTTGTTGTCTTGATGTGTGCGTTTAGGAGTGTTTGAATGTGTGTATCGGTTCAGTGTTTCGGGGGTCTGCAAACAAGCCACCGTTGTTTGACATCGGCACACGAGACTCCTGAAAGCTCTGCCAGCTCGAACAGATGCAAGGTGCAGGAGTCTCGGAGATTTATGCACACGCGCAGATGCACACGCATGAATTCACGTGCACTAATACACAATGCATGCGCTTGGCATGCTGTAAAAACAAAAAAAAGCATAAATGAGCAGATAAATCCTAAGAATATTTGCACCCTTGTGCACAGGATGTGCGTGAAAAATCGAGAAAAATATTTATAGCCATGCACACACTCCCAGATATACACACAGACATGCCTTCTAATCTCCTGGGAGAAAGCCAACAAGAACGGGATAGAAAGAGGGGAGGAAGGGAGACAAGTGAAAGACAGAAAAAGAAAGAAAGAGAGGGTTGTATGAGCCTTGGTCAGAAGGGGAGGAGAGGAGGACATGTGTGGATGTGTGCACGCGCACACACCCTTCCTCTGCTCTGAAGGGGGCATCTGTATGCAAATGAGACACGGTTCTTCCTGGGTGACAAATCAAAAGGCCCACCTGCTGCAAGGGCCCGTCTGTGTGTGTGTGTGTGTGTGTGTGTGTGTGTGTGTGTGTGTGT